GAGGGAGGGAGGTTTCAGTAATGGGCCACAATAATCAACCACATTGTATATCGACAAAATTTAAAAAAAAAAAAAATAAATAAATTATTTAAAAAAAAAAGGCCACAATAATCAACCACATTGTATATCGACAAAATTAAATAAATAAATAAATAAATAAATTATTTTTTAAAAAAATCATACAAAATGTGTTCTCTGATCAAATGGGGTTAAATTAGAAACCGATAAAAATGTAGTACCTATTTGTTGGGAAATTAAACAACACACTTCTACATAATTTGTGAGTTAAAGAAGAAATCAAAAAGGAAACAAAGTAGCATGAACTTATTGATCATGAAAATGCAACGTGTAAAAATCTGTGGAATGGAATTAAAGTACGGATTCTGGATTTAAATGCTTATATTGGAAGAGAAAAAAGGTCTAAAATCAATAACTGCAGGTTTTACTTTAAGAAGCTAGAAAAGGAAAAGCAAAGTAATTCTTTTGTAACTAGAAGAAAAAAATAAGATAATAAATAAATGGAATAGAAAATAGAGATACAATTAGCCAAACCAAAAGTGAGTTCTTTGAAAAGAGCAAGAAAATTAATAAAATCTTAGCTCGAATTATCAAGAATAAAAAAAATGCAAAGCAAATCACCAATATCAGGAATGCAAGAGAGAGCTTATTACTAAGGAACATATAAATATTAGAAGTCTAAAAAGGGAATTATTATGAACAACTTTGTGTCAACAAATTTGAGGATACAGATGAAATGGGCAAATTTCTTGAAAAATACAGCTATGAGAGACAGAAAATAGATTAGTGGTTTTCTGGATTTCGGAAGAGAGGCTTGAAGGCAAATGAGGAATGACTGCTAATGGATATAAGATTTCTTTCCGAGGTGATAAAAATATCCTAAAAGTATTTGGGCTGATGGTTGCACACTCTGTGAATATACTGAACACCATTGCATTGTACAGTTAAGTGGGTAAAATGTGTGATAAGTAAATTATACCTCAATAAAGCTGCTATATTAAAAAATAAAAATAAATTAAAAAGAAAAATTTGAGAATTCAGATGAAATAGGCAAACTTCTTGGAAAATACAGCTCACTATAAAACAGACACAAGATAAAACGATATCTGAATAGCCCAATACTTATCAAAGAAATTGAATTTGTTACCAGAAAAAAAAAAGAAAACTCCAGGACCACATGGTTTTACTAGAGAATTCTACCAGACATCTAGGGAAGAAATAATACCAATTTTACACAACTCTTCCAGAAGACAGAGAAGGAAATGATAGTTCACACCTTGTTTTATGAGGTCAGTACTATCCTAATATGAAAACCTAGTAGAGATATTATAAGAAAAGAAATGACAGACCCAAAGCCTCATGAAAAAATTCTTAAGAAAATGTTAGCAGATTTAATCTGTAAATACAGATGGCCCTCTATATCCATGTGCTTCGCATTCATGGATTCAACCAACCACACACCAAAAATACTCAGAAAAAAAAAACTGCATCTGTACTGAACATGCACAGACCTTTTCTTCTTGTCATTATTCCCTAAAGAATATTGTATAACAACTATTTACATAGCATTTACATTGTTTTATGTATTATAAGTAATCTAGAGATGAGTTAGAGTATATGGGAGGATGTATGGGAGTATATGTAAGAATGTGCATAGGTTATATGTAAATACTATGCCATTTTATATCAGGGACTTGAGTATCCTCAAATTTTGGTTTCAGCAGGAGGTGCTAGAACCAATACATGGAAAGGAAATACAAAATGTCCACTAATGCAAGATTGACTTAACCTTCAAAAATCAATTTTATTCATATTGAATAAAAGATGAAAAACATATGATCACTTAAGTATATTCAGAAAAAGCATCTGACAAAACACAACATCCCTTAATGATGAAAATTCTCAGCAAGCTGGGAGTAGAAGGGAACTTGCTGAATTAGACTATCTATGAAAACCTCCAGCTATATATAGTGATGAAATATAAAACACTATCCTCCTGTGATCAAAAAAAGCACCAATATCCATCTACTATCACTATTTCTATTCAACATTGTATTGTTGAATAGAAAGTAAAGTCCTAGTAATTACAATAGGAAATTTAAATAAGTGAAGGATATAAACACTGAAAAAGAAAAAGAAAAACTTTCTATGTATGTATATGAAACAAATATTTACAAAATCCTAAATAATCTATAAAGCGAGTACTAGAACTTATAGTAAATTTAGCAAACTTGCTGATATGAGGTTATTATGTAATAATTAACTAATAATTTTGTGTACTAACAGCAGACAATTGAAAAACAAAATTTAATAAATAAAATAATGTTTTTAAAAAGGCCTAACAGGTACAATTAAAGTTCCCTGCCTAATTAGTCCTCACTCAAATGAGCCCTGTTTCTAGACAACCCTCCAAGGCTCCTTTCCTTGCTCCCGTGTGGTGTCACAACTGCTTACAATAAATAAATATGGGGCCGGCCCCATGGCTCACTCAGGAGAGTGCGGCGCTGGTAGCGCCAAGGCTGCGGGTTCGGATCCTATATAGGGATGGCTGGTGCGCTCACTGGCTGAGTGTGGTGCACACCACATCGTGCCGAGGGTTGAGATCCCCTTACCCGTGAGAAAAAAAATAATAAAATAAAAATTATAAATAAATAAATAAATATGACCTGGTATATAAACAAAAATTTATAAGACTTAAAACCAATTCTATAAAACACTTTGAGAACCGGTTACATTTCTAATAAACTGGAAGCAAAAAATAATATTGGTAAAGACTTCAGAGAAGAGAGGGGTACAGGGATTGAGAGGACCTTAGGGTGACAAAAGAATCACAAAGAATAGACAGATGAGGGGGTAAAGAAGGTCTTATTTTATTTAAACCCATTCTGGCTCTTTGTCTTGAGAGGCAATATTGTATAATGGCTAAGTACAATGAGAACTATATTAGCTATGATCAATATACTTTTGTTTGTTATTTTGCTAAGAGGAAAAAAAGGAGATTTCTGAGACATTCACGGGTCTTCCCTCAGATGTTGATTTGTTGATAAATGCAAAGTTCATGGATTGTAAAGTTTAATAAAAAGTAGGTATAAGACAATCTTTGTTACAGGAAATTTATATGTTCACTTTATTTTAAAATAAATTATTCTGATCCAATCCATCATCATGTAAACTGTAGAGATTATTTTGATGATCAATATAAGGCAGGATTTTTTTGTTTAGTTCTCTCTAAAGGTGACAGAATACATTTAACACAGAGTATCTTTAGCAGTTCTGAGTTCAAACACAATGTGACTGACATCTGGTTTCTTTAACAATGGATATGCTGTAAGTGTCCCACAAGTAAGTCACATCTAGTTCCCTGGGTATCAAGGAAGGTAGAAATTAATATGAAGGCATGAGAAAGGTATGAACATTATAAAGAACGGCAAAGATGCTTAATGGAAATGTTATCTGTGACACAACAAAGTTTAACCCTTTCCTTTGGAAACAGGGTGAAGAAATTCACCTAGTTTCTTAAAAGATAGCCTTGATATTCCAAACAGCATATCCTAAATTATGTAAGCAGATAACTTACCCAGTGAGACCAAGTTACTGCAGCTCTCCATCATAGCATCCCAGTACAATTCCCACTCCTCTGGAGAGAAGTCTGAAGCCACATTCCTGAATGTTACCCATACCTAAAAGCACAAACCCAAGTGTTGCTGGTTAAAATCAAGAAATGTTTTCAAAATTGAAAGAGTAGACAAATGTTTGAAATCCAAGAATGGGACTATACAGCAAGCAAATAGGTTGTGGCTGGATGTCTATGTTCAGAGAAGTTAAAGAAATTCGTGTTTTGGAAACAGATTCTGTACATATTTTTAAGAAATCCAGTTGATGTAGACAAAATTTCCTGCCTATTATGTGATTCCACAATTATCAAAACATGTCTAAAAACATGTCTGGAAATGAAGAAAATAATTGTAATTTACCAATTAAATAGTGAATAAACATACTGCATGCCATGTGCCTACCTCATAAATTATCAATAAATAAATGTGAATTCTTATGTCCTCTTTTCCTTTACATACTAAGAAAATATAATTCATGGCATTTATTTTCCAATATAGTATTAAATCTCTAGCTTAAATAATAGGGTTTGCATATAATTGAAGATTTTCTTCGAGCCTTAAGTCCATCATTATGTCACATATCATTTTTAAAAAATATATCATAAGCACTATTCTTTCTTATGCCAAATCATTTAGCAAATGTCTTTTTATTGGCTACAGTATAGTTCATCTTGTACATCAGCCTTAATTATCCCTTTAAACTGCTATGCTTAGGTTGGGAAATGACCAATAACATCTTCTCTGCTGATCGGAGTCTACAGTCATCTACTCCTTTTAAATCTGATTGATTTTCTTACTACGATCCACCATTCCTCACTGAGTACTTTTTCCTCAATCCTGAGTTAGAGGGTACAAAATACAGAATGTCCCAGAATCACATAGATATCATTCTAAACCAGCACCATCTTTTCAAGTACACATGGATCTTCCTCCTAGTATTTATCTCTTTGTGACTGATTCCCAAGTTAGATCCCTGATCTCTCTGTATGCAGGTCCTGATCTTACCCTTATCTGATCCTAAAAGCCTCACAAAGCATGAGATCTCAACACATACCAACGGTGAGGCTAGTCAACTTCTTTTTCTTATCTCTTCCCGAAATCCTCAAAGAATTTCTAAGTTTTTCCATGAGTAATCAAATGTATCAACTTCTTTTAATCATCCCTCCACCATCCCTTGGATGGTCAACCACCTACCTCCTCCTCAAGAGATTTCGTTTTACTCCATAACGCTTCTTAAAAGAAGGCTGAACCTAATAGGAGATTCTAAATATTAATGGGAGAATAGAGGGACCTACCAGGAGGAGCTGGGGCTGTTTAGGATCACCCCTCACAAGAACTGGATTCTTAGATAGGTCTCTGTTACATAGGACATTTCGAGATAAGGTAATGTTTGCATGATCTAAATATGACTATGTTCAAGAAATAGAGAGAAATAGCAACCCACCAAAGCCATAGCTAAAAATGGTTAAGAACCAGTCAGTCCTCCATCAGGCGTCCTTTCTTACAGAAGCACAGAGAACACAGCAGCAAGAGATGGGGAAGGAAAACATGTGCCTCTTAGCTTCCAAAATGACATATATTAATATGAGGTTTTTTCCTTCTGTCTTCTTGCCTGCAAACAATTCCTCATTAATACACACACAAAACGGAGGAGATAAGAGGGATTCTTAACAAATCGAAACCCTCCAGACCCACGGAGTCCAGCAAACAGGCACAGACACCAAACAGATATCCTCCTGTCTGAAACTCAGGTCCAGACAATTCAGCAGGAGGTTTCTGGCCCATTCCTTACTCTGTTACGGCTGAACTGAACTTAAGATTGAGCCACTCAGACTTGTCTTGAGCAGATAATCCTCCTTCCATTCCACCTTCTAGGGCTGCAAAGGGATGACACCATTCACACCAGTACCTCCTACATGATTGGTTGTCAGGAATTGTCACAGACTGTAAATTCCAATAAGGCCCACAACAATACAAGGATACTTCAAACGGTTCATGGCAGAATGGAATTAAATGATAATATGAATCTTCCCATGAACTTTTTGAAGACCTCTCGTATTCTGGTGATGCGTATTAAGAGAACTTTGCCACTTACCCTTCAAGAAGTAGAGTCTATTTCCCTCCCTCTTGAAACTGGGCAGGCCTTTGGGAGTTACTTGATAAACAGAATGCAGCAGAAATGACACTATATTTTCCAAGGCTAGATTAGGAAAGGCAACAGAACTTCCTCCTAAATCTTTCTCAAGATGCTCACCCTGGAACCCAGCNCAGCTCCCAAACTTCAAGCCACCTGAAATGAAGCCAAGTAGAGCAGAGACTAGCAGTTCCCCAAGGGCTCTGTACAGTGTGCAGATTAATGATTGAAATAAATGTTTTATTGGGCCGGCCCGGTGGCACACTGCTACAGTGCGCCACTTGGGAGTGCGGCAGCGCTCCCGCCGAGGGTTCGGATCCCACATACAGACCAGC